TGAGCTCAGCGAAACACCTTGATAAGTGGGGGATTACAAGTGATCCTATAGCCATTTGAGCTGAGCCAATTATCCACTCAACTCATGAGATTGGTGAAGGTGGATCAAATCTCACTTGTTGATGAGTTGGCTTGACCGTCAGCTCATGTTGATTCTTGGAGCTGGTGGGGAGAGGGAGTGAGCTTGTGAGAGTGTTGCCTTACATTACTAAGTGAAGGATCACCTCCCTCCTACTCCCCCCCCCCCAACCTGGTACCTGCCTCATGACGGAATCAACACAAGTAAGTACCTGTTGTTTATCGGGTCACACCTGTTGAGGATGAAGGGGTGATTATGGAGGCAATTAGGTGAGGATGGTGGTTGTGGTGGTAGTTAGATGAGGATGGTGGTTGTGGTGGTCTAGTGAGGTGGGGATACTGGTAGTGATCAAGTGAGGTGAGAATGGTGATGGTGGTGGTGGTTAGGTGATAGTGTGGTGAAGATATAGTGGTACACCTGAATGTAGATCGTTGGAGGCAAGTGGTGTTTGTGAGAGAGAGTAAATGAGTGGTAATAAGGCCAGGTAGGATATGACTCACCTGTGGACATGGTAAGATCAGGTGGTCAACCTGCCTCCCCCTCCCCCTCCCACCTGACTCCCTACCTTGAATCGTTGGGCGTGGTTGGTGAGCTATCGTGGGCGTGGTTGGTGGGCTGTCGTGGGCGTGGTTGGTGGGCGTGGTTGGGGGACTATCGTGAGCGTGGTATGGAGACCAGATTACAGATTGCCCACCTTGTGCAAGGTGAAGCGCAGAAGCGTTTACAGTGCCCATCTGGGAAGCATGCGGAGTTCATGCTTGCCCTTATGACTCGTGCATTAAGGGCGTAAAGGCCTGAAGGGTCATGGGTTTTGTCAGCAAGTTACATAAAGTGACAATATGATGAGTGTGGGGGGGGGACCTTGGGTGGTACTGGGATAAAAAAGGTCACGCCTCACCTCCACGTGGCTAAACACACAACCCTTGACCTTACCTCTCACTGTTAACCTTTGATGACCTTTTACCGGACACCGGTCTGTGCTTGTGACGCCCGAGTCTTGAGACATTATGAGAGAGATACACACCTTCAACCCGAGTATAGGGTGTGTGTGTGTGTACAGGTTTACGTGAGGGTAGAAGACTTGTGGTGTGAGCCTGCTTGCGTGCCTCTGTGTGTGTGGACAAGATCACTCGTATCAACAGCCTGAGACGAGAGGTGTGTCTGTGTGTCCACTTGGAGACAGAGGCACGCCTTTTACACACACTCACTCACAGAAACCTTAAGGCATTGCTCTTGTAGTATTTCGCGAGACCTTTAAAGTATTGTTGTTGCTTCAAGAAGTCAAACGTTAATATTGTTGTTGCAGACAGACCTTTAAAGTGTTTGTTATTGTTGCAGACAGAGACCTTTAAATTGGTTGTTGTTGCAAGGACATGTAATATTTTTGTTGCTACAGTTCTTTGAAATATTGTTGTAATGGGATTTTTTAGTCCTACGCTTATTGTCTGTCTGTCTGTCTGCGGTCTTGATGGTAGTGGTAGGCGTGTGCTGGTAGTGAGGAGGATGATGTGAATATGAGGGTAGTGGAGAGGGTGGACAATGGGGGGGTGGCTGGAAGCTGGTCAACTCACGGCTATTATCTGTCACTTCCGAGCTGGGGGTAGTGGCTAGTGACACACACATCTATGTATATATGTGGTGTAGTGTTGATGTGTGGGGACGTATCTGATAGTGTACTCTGGGTGTAGTGTTGTGTGGGGGCGTTGCGGGTGTAGTGTTGTGTGGGTGGGTGTAGTGTTGTGTGGGTGGGTGTAGTGTTGTGTGGGGGCGTTGCGGGTGTAGTGTTGTGTGGGTGTAGTGTTGAGTATTGTCTTACTACCTCGTCAATCATATGGACAGAGGGTGGAGGGGGGGGGGGTTGATTACAACTACTCTGCTAAATACTGTATGCTTGTTGACGTGGTGCTGGTGTGTCTGAAGTAGTAGAAGTTTATTTCTGACAGACACGTGTAACAATTGTTCTCAAAATCACACTAGAGAGAATAAAAATAATACAGTATATTAATAATACAGCCATAGTTATAGAGGTTCACAGTTAGTTAGTCTATCTTGGCCTAAACCACTACATAGGTCTATAACTTCCTAACACAAGGGTAAGAATTAACATGTATCGGTATCTCAGTAACCACTTGTCTGATGTGTGTCATATATGGTCACCAATGGGGGCGTGACACCACACTTTTCCCCTCCTATACTGTGCTTCACCCCAGGTCATGTTCCCGCCCTGGAAAAATAGGTCAAGACAAGGTCACTCAGTAAGTCTCATGAAAGTTAGGGTCAGCTGAGATAATATCACTGAACAGGTATACAGTATTATATTATTTGGGACTTGTGTTGTTGTTACTTTTGGTCAAATGGACATCTGGCAACACAGCACGGCCCACCTGTAATTTAAGCACCCTAAAGCTACCTGGGTGGTTTAAGTTATTGCAAAGTTTTCAAAATAATGGTGATTTTTTTTTGAAACGCCAGTGATAAATAACACAGTGGAACCTTGATTTGTCGAAAAAATATCACTTGAAATTTATAGACATTGCTTAACACATTACACATACACAGTCAGTCTCTCACATAAACAGACCAGGTGTGTATGAGTCATGGCGAGGTCACAAGTGTTCAGCTCACACACACACACTGCTGAATACTACTTACACACACACACACACACACTGCTGAATACTACTTACACACACACACACACACACTGCTGAATACTACACACACACACACACACACTGCTGAATACTACTTCCACACACACACACACACTGCTGAATACAACTCACACACACACACTGCTGAATACTACTCACACACACACACACACACACTGCTGAATACTACTCACACACACACACACACACACACACACACACTGCTGAATACTACTCTCACACACACACACACACACACACACACACACTGCTGAATACTACTCACACACACACACTCACACACACTGCTGAATACTACTCACACACACACACACACTCACACACACACACACACTGAAAACTACTCACATACACACACACACACACACACTGCTGAATACTACTACACACACACACACACACACACACACACACTGCTGAATACTACTCACACACACTCACACACACACACACTGCTGCTACTCACATACACACACACTACTGAATACTACTCACACACACACACACACACACACACACACACTGCTGACTACTACACACACACACACACACACACACACACACACACACTCACACACACACACACACACTGCTGAATACTACTCACACACACATACACACACACACACACTGCTGAATACTACTCACACACACACACACACACACACACACACACACACACTGCTGAATACTACTCACACACACACACTGCCTACACACACACACTGCTGAATACTACTCACACACACACACGCTGCTGAATACTACTCACACACACACACACACACTGCGAATACTACCACACACACACACACACACTCTGCTGAATACTACTCACACACACACACACACACACACACACACACTGCTGAATACTACTCACACACATACACACACTGCTGAATAATACTCACACATAATACTCACACACACACTGCTGAATACTACTCACACACACACTGCTGAATACTACTACACACACACTGCTGAATACTACTCACACACACACTGCTGAATACTACTCACACACACACTGCTGAATACTACTCACACACACACTGCTGAATACTACTCACACACACACTGCTGAATACTACTCACACACACACGCTGCTGAGTACTACTCACACACACACACACACACTGCTGAATACTACTCACACACACACACACGCTGCTGAATACTACTCACACACACACACACACTACAGAATACTACTCATCTGTAAAGAATACTAAGAAAATGGTTATTATTATCATCATTGCCACTAATTATAGCCACTTGCCTGACGCATTCACTTGTTCCGTATTGCACGAGAACAATGTCTTAACTTGACCATTGACCCAACACAGTTAGTTTAAGGTGTAGTGATCCCAACAGAACTTTATTGTTGTTTGTGTTGACCCCTTGTACTGCACCTCTCTCAGTGATGTCAGCATAACTGTGTGTGTCTGCCTCAAGCCCTTCACCTTTACCACCACCATCATCCTTGACAGTTCACTATAATGTTTACAAAATTCCTCTTTGTTGTAGTTTCAGTATATTTTAATGTAGGTTTCCGATGCATGAATTATTTCTTCTGTGTTGTCTCACTTGTATGTGAATGGTTTGAGAACTTTGTACATCTACAGACACACACACACATACATACACACACACTTGGATGATCACATGAAGATTAACACCCCCAGCTTATTTCACTTGATGATATGATTAAGCACGACTGCTAGCTGAGGAGTTATGTTAGGTTAGGTTAACATTAGGATGGTTAATATTCAGGTGAGATAAGCTTGGTGGCTCTTCTTCAGGCGATCTAACTTATGTTTTACTGGTACACTGTGACTTGACTGATAATTAAGTATTAGTGAAGGTTTTGTGTCTTAATTCGGTAAGTTTACTTTGTGGAGGGTTGATGCCTAATACATTCTGGCAAGACTGAATGTTTAGATGAGATAGAAGTATGATAGGCAGGACTTGCATCACAGAATACAGTGTTGTATCCCCTCTTTTTTTTTTGTTAATCTCCAAAGTATTGTGTAATAGTTGGGGTGATTTACAATGTGTTATAGCTCACCCGGTCATTTTCTACCCTCCAACACCTGTGCATTTCAGTTAACAACCTAAATGCTAAAATTTATCCCTGAAATATTTCTACATGTTAATAATATGCAGGTACAGGTCTATTGATTTTTTTAGCTTTTTAAAGAATCATCATTTTGTTAATAGTTTAATGTTTTTCTCAACAGGTGCTGTCAAAAGAACCCAAGAATGACTCTCCGGACACCACTGTGACGACGCCTCCTAATGTACAAAAAAGGGGTGAGTGGCTTATCCTCTTAGGCAATGTAGCTGTATTATGTTCTAAGGTGTACGAGTCTCTTGACGTGTGACCAGCGAGATGGTCCCTGCCCTCAACACCAGTGTGACTTATTGGGCTCACGTGAAGGCTACACACCTCGGCTTGTTTTGATTCAGTTTTGATAGACATGTATAAGAATGTTGTCCTTAAAGGTGAGATCTCGAATGGGTTTTCTTTTCAGTGGTCTGTAACTTTAACTCCCTTTCTGGAATTACACTAGAACATGTTCGTTCTGTTGCATAAAAGCAAAACTGTATTTGTGAAAGACTAACAGACATTAATGATTTTTGGAAATATAATAACAATGTTTTCAGTTTGTTTGAGAGAATTTAGAAGTTTTGTGATATCTTTCTGGTACAGAGATGGGGGGTCGTCGGTGTCGTGTCGTGTTCAGCTACGCACCACAACACGACGACGAGTTAGCACTGTGTGTGGGCCAGACCATCACCATACTGCAGGAGGTAGAAGAAGGATGGTGGAAAGGTGTACTTGATGGACAGGTAATATCAAAGTCTATACAGTATCTCATTTCAATGGCATCAGTCACCTTTCTGAGTATCATTCCTTATTCTCTTACTTGCATCTTGAGCCACCTGGCAGTGCAGTCCAGTAGTCTTTGCAGGTGAACTGTTGCAAGGTGTACAGTTATTCCTGCAATGGTACAGTGTTCAAAGATTTGGTAAAAAAAATTATTCGAGATCAATAACAATGTAATTTAAATAAGTTGTAATAACATAAAGGGTCATTAATTAACACTATTCACCTGAATCTTAAATTTATGAGCCTAGATTCTGTATTTAATTTGAAGGAAACCTAAATTCTGACTTGTGCTCGAACACCAGGAATTTTTTTTTTTTTATCAGAAAAGTAAAATGTGATCTGTTTAAATGGTAAAGTCAATCTATATTGATGGGTGAAAGGTATCAAATAGTTGAAAACTGACAGGCACAGCATAATTAGCATTTTAAATATTCTAAATGCTCTACTGTTTTTAAAGGTCATTTATTAGAACTAACTAATTACCAGAATAAAAAATTTTTGAACCCTGATTCATAACCAGCATATCAAGGAGCATCTCTGTATGAAATGTGGTCAAAACCCAAGTTTTGACCACCACTTTCACCGTAACATGAGGTAATAGGTCGGACATTTTGGGGACAATAAACACACTTTTATCTGGAAACTGAGAAGTAGCACAGTTATGTGATAATGTACAGTACAGTAGTGTACATTAATGGTAAAACATATATAAAGGCGATTCAAAACTTACAGGCATTGTACTGTACTGTACAGTAATACAGTACAATATGTATGTATTTTAATTGTTCTAAAGTAGCTAGATGTAATTTTTTCAAGGGTCTTTAAATAACACTAATTATTGTAATTAATTGTACCAATGATGTGGAAAAATTCCTTTACTTTTGTAGTGCAAGTTACCTGTACACAACACCTATGATTTTTCCTTGGCTCTCTGATGTTCTTATGTTATTTTAGATGTACGTACAATACTGTACAATACTGAAGTATACACATTAATTTCCAATTACACTGTGCCTATAAGTTTTAATTAGCCCTTATACTGTATATTTTGTTCCTGTAATATAGACCAAGTTTACCATTTAATGTTTTGAGTTTTCATGCTTTCATTACCCCCACAAGGTATGGTAATAATGATCATTCAGTCACCAGTACAGTATCTTTGAAATGTGGTTTGTTATTTTTTGTTTTTATGCATTTTGTAGGTAAAAACTTGAGGAACTGGCTTGTTAACTAATGTACTGTACACACATTCCTGCACAGGTTGGTATGTTCCCATCAAACTTTGTAGAAGATGTTGTTGATGAAGAGAACACTTCCACTTCCACTAAGCAGAGCGAATCAACTCTTGAAAACATCAACAATCAACTTAACGTAAATGGTGACGGAAAAGGTAGGCAAAAATTCATAATACAGTAATTTGAATTGTCAGTAGTGGAACCATTATCTTTAGTTATGTTGTGCAGCTAATTGAGTGAAAGTTAGAGACAAAAGTGTCAGGGGACAATCACTAAAGAATAACCAGAAAGAGACTGGCTACATGTATCAACTTGCCGTCACCCAGCTTGGAGGCTGGCATAAGGCACTAAGAAGATGGTGTTGTTCTGTGTCAGTGATGCAGTCCAGAGCAAGACCATTCATAAATTTTAGCCTTTATGGACCACCTGTAGATTAAATGCATGCCCGGGTAGTTTCTGGGTGGTTGAAGTTCAAGCTGGCAGGTAACTTTAGGTGATCCACAAAGAGTCAAATTAGGAAACATCTCGTTAATAATCTCCAACTCGACTGCATCAGTGTTGTAGATATGATTCATTATAGATTGGGTTGCTCATAGTCTTGTACAGTACAGTATATGATTTACACACTATCAAGACATTTTCATATTGAACTGAAAGATTTGTGAGGCATCATTGTAGTACTGTACATGTTAAATGAGATTACTGCATTAGAACTTACAATAAGGAAGAACATATTCCTTTAATGGAGGGAACTTCATGCTGTGCCCATCCCTCCCTCACACCAACAACTCTCAACAAAAAATAGTGTATCCTCTGTAGAATCAGTACTGCATCTCAAACTAAGTCTTGGTCAGTCAGTGCTTTAAAGGTAAAGTGATACAGTACTGTACTTGTATTTTTAGAGTGAATGACAAGTACTGTATATTGATATGTCATTGTGGATTTGTTGTAGTGAGGCTGACTCTTGAGTGGGTGAAGATGCCCAGAGTTGTGATAGGGAAGAATTATGATTGGCTGATAACTCTTGAGAGCAGAACCTTGAAGCCCGGAATTGGTTGATATTCTTCTTATTTTTATTTTATGTTAATATTCATTCATTAAATTGGAGAGAGAGGTGGACTTTATAGGTACAGACAGTACAGTACCCTACTTAAATTCAGAATTTTTTCTCAAATACAATACAGTACTGTAGTTACATTTTTTTTTTTTTTTTCAGAAATAAAACCAAAACCCATTCAGGGGTTGGGCTATGGGGTGAAACTCACAGACTTGAAGAAAGAAGGAAACAGCAAAAAGGAATCTGACACTCCCACCAGCAACGGATCAACAAAAATCTTAGGATCATCAGGGACCTCAGCGTTCCAACCAGTACACAAAATTAAGGAACTTCCTAGAGAAAATGGTGAGTGTGTGTGTGTGTGAGGCTGGCCGCAGCTTTTACACTAATTTTCCTCATATATCTTCCCCCCTCATCGCTTCCACCCTGTCTTACCTGGGAGGGATGATGTAGGAAGGTGTTTTTTTTGGCTGGAATATTGAACAGCCATATCTTGTTAAATGTAAAAGATATTAAAAATTCTTAGTTGGGTGTTTAGTGCAACAGTACCCAGGACACACACACACATTCTGGTTACTCCATTATCCTGCTCCAAAAGGAAAGAATCATTTATTTGATATTCAGAGTACAGTATATGTTTTATTATCTTCAATCATGAATCTTTTAGAAGGACTCATTTTCTTCCTGTGGGAACTATTAAATCAAGATTTGTGCTAATGGTTGGTATTTCAAGCATTTTGAAATTAGAGGGGGAAAAAGTTAGCATCCAGCAAAGGTTTTAGGCAGTTGTTTCTCCAAGGAGTAAAGGATTAAAGAAAAAATTATATGGCCTTTGTTCTGTATACTTTGGCCAGTTACCTGTACAATATATAGTGTATATTAATGCTCCCCTCAAGCCATACTGATAACTTGCAACAGTGACTTTTTTAACTTAGCTTGTCTGATATTTTGATGTTTGATTTGTAAGTGTCTAGCATAAACCTAGTAAATGTTATATACTTATGGTCTTGCTGTACTGCATTGTTTTAGGTCAACTGAAGGACTTCCGAGACCTACCTCACAGACTACCTCCAGCTCTAGAGCCCAAGACAGAGAAAGTTACTTCAAAAACTGATAAAACCAGAATTAATGCGGCGGACAAGGAACGCATCAACTCTCTGGAGAAAGACAGATCGAGCAATTCCTCAGTAGAGGAAAAGAAGAAGGTAAGATTTTGAAGTGTGCTTCATTGTTTGTAGATTTGATGTCTCCTCCATGTGTGGTTTTCATCTTGGTCAAAATTCACACCACAGACTATACAGTGATCCACTGAACCTCACACTGTGCTCGTGTTTCTTTCGAGGAGCCTGAAGAAATGTGTATAGGGTACTGCATAGGTCTGCTTGTTGATGTACTCTCTTCACCTGCCTTGCTCTACCATTCAACATTATCTCTTTCTTTAATGTTTATATTTATAGTACTTTGATTTGCCTCACACAGAGTCTGAGTGGCTTAAAGATAGACAAATATAGAAGAATACTATAAGTAATTTTTTCGCCACCAGGTTGAGGCAGGGACCAGAAGGGAACTACCCACAATAGCCAGTGGTTCTCCCCCTCAGCTGCCACCACCACAGTTACCTCCTAAGCCTGGTAAGGGTGCCAGGACTCTAGTGAAGGTCCTGTTACTATTGTTAGTGTTATGTTTTATAATCTTCACTACTTAAGGAACTTCTATATTAATCACAGTGTTTCCCTATCTGTTAAAGGTTAATTTAAGAAACCTTCACCCATCACAAGATCAGATCCACCTCCATTATGTCAGAGTCATTCAATCTTTTATAAACTGGAAGCACTGAATTTTCTCATTGTGTTTAGACAGAATTACTGTTAATCTGTTAATTTGACCCACTTGTGATGTCCACTGCTTGCTCTTGTTTAATTTCCAACTCAGACGGAGTGTCTGCTTCTTCACAAATATTCATGACAGGTGATGTAGATAAACCTGTACAGTGGCATTAAATAGCACTGAGCTGTTAAGACACATTAATTTGAATGGACAGCATCTCAAAAAAGTATCTGCCAGGATGGGTGCAATGACTTCCAAAATGCTACAGGTAACTTATGTTGTCTTGGGAGGGTTGGTATACTGCACTGAACCTACAACATTTGGTAACCGAACATCATATTAATTATGCCGAAATACATACATGTTGCATTATTTATGTTAAGCTATACAGGTATACCAAAGTATATGCATGTCCCAATATCTATCATCTGTGGTTTCATAATGTTTCACACAGTGTTGACAGATACTTTCTTGAGATACACTGTACTGTACAATAGTTTCATATTTTACACATACAGTAATACCTGTACAATATTTAATATTCTGAACGATAATATCTCACTTGAACAATACAGTAATGTAAATATTTCCTCACAGTACGGGAACTGGCACGAGTCATGTTCCCATATGCAGCAGAACACGAGGATGAGTTGGAGTTGAAGGAAGGAGACATCATTACTGTCCTCTGTAAGGAGCTGGAAGATAGAGGGTGGTGGAGAGGAGAGCTCAATGGTCACGTAGGAGTCTTCCCTGATAACTTTGTGGAGCTAATGAGTGTGGAGGAAACGGTATGTCTCCGCTACTTTTCATCTTGTATTTCATTAGTGTCCATTGTCTTTTAGGTGCACATCATATAAGCAATAATTTCTTTTATACTGTAGTGTAGTTATACATTTGAGGGTCCTGGACAGCTTACAGCAGAGTAGATAAGATACACACATGATAATTTGTAATCATATCATATAATTAATTTAATATTGTATAAAAATTAATTAATTACCTGTAGATGATGCCCAGAATGTTGTCTCTTTTTATTCAACGTGTTTTGTGTATAAAGTGACAGTGTGATGCTGTTTTTAGGCCACCTCCATATGATACGTCACATGAAGTAGGTTAATAAGGTTATGGATTTAACAAGATTACTGTGAGCAGTGTCACTCAGTGTGAGAGAGTCTGCTCCAACAGTTACTACATTTTGTTAAGTGTCTCCAAGATAAACAGTAAAATCCAATTGTGCAAAACAGTTTCATCTTCATGTTTGATCCTGTTTATAAGTGATCATAGTGTTTGATCCTGTTTATAAGTGATCATAGTGTTTGATCCTGTTTATAAGTCATTTATTGTGTCTGATCCTATAAATGAGAAATTGATCCTGAGTAGATTGTTTTAGGAATTAGAAGGTTATGTGTGTGTTAAGTGAGAAGAAGTTGTTCTTGGTATACTGTACTAACAAGTATTGGTGTTATACAAGTTAATGGTGTGACGAGAACGTTGTGATTGGGTTTAACTTTTACAGCTTCGAGATTTTATAGAGGCTTTTTTTCTCCCAGGTAAATCGAAGTTGACAGAATTGCTGTAGACTGGCTATGTTTTTAGAGGCGACAGAACATTGTAATAGAATTAAAATATTTTGAAAGAGTTACTATAAAGGGGAGGCACTGATAGTTAGTTTGCCCTGTCACGTACAGTACAGTATTTCAAACCTCATTCTGTGTTTTGTCAGGACAGGACCACAATACTTGACATTTTAGTTAATATCTTGTAATTGCTAAATCTAACCTGTATTTATGGTGTCTTTTCCACTTGCATGTGTTGGCATTCTCCCAGGTGAGAAAGGTTAGTACTGTACAGGTAATTAGCTTTGTACAGTCCATGTTGGTAAAAATCATATTTGTTTCATTTTGATTTATGTTAGAAGAGGAACGACCCTTAGTTGGTGCTGTGGTTTACCTCTTGAGCTCTTGTTCACCCCTTGTGTTTTTGTGTGTGTCTGTCTGTCTCGCTCTCTCTCCCTGTTACTCAGTTGGGTCCTTCTTGTCCTTTTCATTATTCGTCTTGTAAATCTTCCTTGCCACTGTGCACTCTGTCTTAAGGTTTGTGTATGTCATGATATACAGTCACCTCCAGGTGTGATGTTACCCTCTACAGTACCATGACATACACCTGGAGGCACTTGTACCTTATTGGAGCAGAGTTAACATAGAGAAATTCTGAAACTTATAAACAAGGAAGTTAATATGACTGACTGTTAAAGAATTATACACTATACCCTTGTTAATTCAACAAAAAAGGGGCTCTGGGTCACCCAAATTACTGAAAAATCCGATTAACCAAGTTTTGGATATTTTGACATCATTATTCGATAATTTCCAAAAATTTTGTTGAATTTTTCATTTGTTTTCTTGCCACAAGACTTTGTTGGCTAGTCAGAAGTCTTCTTCCTGCCCTGAACAAGCACTTGAGGGACATGTGTAGCCATCACAACACAGTAAATAGAGTAGAAAGTAATAGGTAGATTACTACATAAATCCAGAGAGAAACTAGCGTCCATCACGTTTGTCGCACGGGTAATAAACAACAGGGCCCTGTTCATTATTCTGTACACCTTGCCAGTAACAACATGCTCTGCTGAAATATTTTTCAATGGACTGAAAAGAATAAAAACACCATTCAGATCAACAATGAGGAACGAGAGACTGACAGGCCTGACACTACTGCACGCGCACCGAGATATACCAGTGGACATAAACCAAGTAACTGACATATTTATATATAAAAATCCTAGGAAGGTGAAATTTGCAAATATACTATTTGAAAAGTAAAGATGTTTTGTTTGTGCAAATAAAATATAAACATTAGGATACAAAATAATAAAAGTGTTATACAGTATGCATGTATTCGGCTCAATAAATTCATGCATATTTTATGATTGTACAGATTAAATATGCCCCTGAAACCCTTCTAGTAAGAATTGTTTCTCCATTGGTAGTGCTCTGTAGTTTACCATGTTGGCTCCACGCCTAGCTCAAATATTTGGAAACCTCCCCTACCCAATTTCTGGGTGCACCCCTGACAGGCATCCATGATCCAATAATAGTTTATGTATAGTTTTATCACAAATTAAAATAATTTAATTACTCAAAATCTTGAAAAATCTTTCAGATTTATATTTCCATCAACACAACATTAGCCCACAAATTTACAAAAAAAAAACATCTGCTTTAAGGTGCTAACCATCTCAACTGATGAGGTGGCTGTGCCACATAACCTCTGCCTGTGCTGGTGACCCACTCTCACATGATAGCAGCATGCTTGGGGAGAATGAAATTTCAAGTCCACCCGGGGAGCCACACGGTCAGAGTTGACGCGACTTTTCAGAACTTGGTTATTTTGGATTCTGCATGTGTTCTGGGTATCAAGTTCTATCTACAGGA